ATGCGGGAGGCCGTGCTGGAGCCCAACACCATCAGCTACTGTGTTGCAGTCAGCGCGTGCGAGAAGAGCGCGCAGTGGCAGCGGGCTCTGAGGCTGCTCAGTGAGATGCGGGAGGTACGGGTGGAGCTCAGCACTGTCAGCTTTAACGCTGGGATCAGCGCTTGCGAGAAAGGCAAGCAGTGGCAGCGGGCTTTAGGGCTGTTCGGCGAGATGCAAGAGGCGAACATTAAGCTCGACAGTATCAGCTACAGCGCTGGAATCAGCGCTTGCGAGAAAGGTGCGCAGTGGCAATCGGCTCTAGGCCTGCTGAGTAAGATGTGTGAGGCAATTGTGGAGGCCGACGTCATCTCTTCTACAACGCAGGGGCGAGTGCGCGCGAGAAAGGGTCTGAGGACCGAGTTACGCGCGGCGGCTCCGAGACGCTCAGAAGGGTGCGGCCCCGAGGCGGCTCCGAGACGCTAGGGCGCTCCGACGGCCCGAAGACGGCTCCGAGGCGCTCAAGAGCCGCCCCGACGTCCCCAGAGGACCCCCAGCGAGCATCAGGGCGGCCCACGAGGGTTCGGAAACATGACAGGAGGTTCCCGAAGCGGCCCTGGAGGATCCCGATGACGGCCCGAGGCGGCTAAAATCATGGATCCCCCTATGAGTTTTGAAGCAGGATTTTCACGCTCTCGCCCTGGTTGGCCAAGAACGGCCCAAGACAGCTCCAGGACCCTGTCTGATCGTTTGAAGATTGCCCAAGAGGCTCCCACGAAGGCCCCAATACCTGCCCAAGACGGCCCAACAGGCGCCCAAAAGGTCCCAAGAGCGGCCCAAGAGCGGCCCAGGACGGCCCCAAGGCGGCCCAGGAGGCGCCCAAGGCGCCCCAAGACTGCCCCAAGACGGCCTAAGAGCCAGCCAAGATGGCTCACGAGGGCCACAAGACGGCCCTCAGGACGCCGAACAGAAGTCCCAAGGAGCTCCCAAACGGTCCCCAAGAGGCCCCAAGTGGCTTCCATACTGCCTCCAAGCGAGGGAGGAGCGCCGTGGTAGCTTCGACGATTGATGATCGAAGGTCGAGGGAAAGAGGAGGATGAGAAGAAGGATAAGGAGAAGAAGAAGGAGGAGGAGGAGGAGGAGGAGGAGGAGTAGGAGAAGGGGGAGGAGGAGCAGCAGGAGGAGGAGGAGGAGCAGGAGGAGAAGTAGGAGGCGGAGGAGTAGGAGGCGAAGGAGTCGGATGAGGAGGCGGAGGAAGGGGAGGAGGCGGAGGATCCAACACCAGCAAGCAGCAGCAGCAGCAGCAGCAGCAGCAGCAGCAGCAGCAGCAGCAGCAGCAGCAGCAGCAGCAGCAGCAGCAGCAGAGCAGCATCAGCAGCACATGCCGCACACGGTATCTCATAGCGGCCCATCTCTGCTCAGTGCTCCATTTTGGAGTCGGTGGTTCTGGTCACCTGCACATGCCCGCCCACAAGGCTACACTCCGAGCTCGCCTGGGCCCTGCTTCAGATGGCCACGGCGACTGCTCGTAGATACACGACGTCGAGGCAGGCGGCGAAGGATCAGGAAGAGGAGGGCGACGTCGCCAGCGACAGCGGAGACGACGACAACACAAGCGACGACGCCGCCAGGTCCTCGCTTCCTCCCATTCGCTCCGTCTCCGTGCAGCCCTGCGTCGGACAGGTGTCCACAGGTCCTAACGATTCGGATGTTTTTTCGCCTTCTTCGACGGCTTACCGGAAGACCAGCGCACGGGTGGCCACGTGACCGTTCCGATTCGCATGTTGCTCCGCTTTCTGACTCGACAGGTCTCCGGCAGAGAAGCGCCCACATGTCGTTGCGATTCTCATGTTGTCACGCCTTCTTAGATGGCTCTTTGGCAGACCAGCGCGGGGGACGTCACGCAGTCGCTGCGGTTCGCGCGGTCCCGCTGTCTTCATCCACGGTCCTCCGGGTGAGAAGTGGCTACATGTCGCCGCGGCTCGTGACCAGGGGGCTCCCACCAACACATGTCCCCCGCCCCGTCGCGCTTCGCGCCAGTAGGGTCGTCACAGACAGGCGGCTTCACGGGTGTGCAGTTAGCGGCTACCCAGCTCCCGCATGTGGCGCCTCCACCCCTCCCACCTGCAGCACAGAAGTGGCCACATTGCGTTGTGACACACGCTCTGTCCTCTTTCTCGTTTCTCTCCCCCACCTCCCATGACCTTCACCTTTCCCGCTCCCTTCAGAGCTCAGGGGCTCGGGGACCCTTCCCTCCTTGACATGCAAGGCCGCACTTCCAGCACACGTCGGCCAAGCACCTGCCCATGGCCAGGACGACTGCAAGTCCGTGCGCGACCTCGAGGCAAGCGGGGGAGGAGCAGGATGCGGAGCACGACGTAGACTGCGACGACGACGACGACGAGACCGATCACGACGACGACAACGACGACGACGACGATGACAGCGGCGACAGCGACGGCGCTGACGGGGGAACAACCCGCGTCCGCGATGCCCGCCCAGGACGACAAGGACAGGGGCGGCGACTGCGACCACGAGCCCGACGTCATCCTGAAAGCCTGTCGGCATCATCTCCGCCCAGACCCCGCCGTCAGCCCGGTCAGCCCTGATCATCTACAATGCTGGGATCAGCGCGTGCGGGAAAGGTGTGCAGTGGCAGCGGTCTTTAACGCTGCTCAGCGAGATGCGCGAGGTCAAGCTGAAGCCAGACAGTGTCAGCTACAGTTCTGGGATGAGCGCGTGCGAGAAGGGCCAGCAGTGGCAGCAGGCGCTAGCAATGCTGAGCGAGATGCGGTGGGTGAAGCTTGAGCCCAACGTCATCAGCTACAGCGCTGGGATCAGCGCTTGTGAGAAGAGCGGGCAGTGGCAGCAGGCTCTGGCAATGCTCAGCGAGATGTGTGAGGCGAAGTTGGAGCCTGACGTCACCAGCTACAGCGCCGGGATCAGCGCGTGTGAGAAGGGTGAGCAGTGGTGGCACGCCTTGGCGATTATCAGAGAGATGTGGGAATTGAGAGTGCGTGCCGGCGTCACAAGCTACAATGCTGGCATCAGCGCTTGCGAGAAGGGCGAGCAGTGGCAACGGGCCCTATCGCTGCTCCGCGAGATGTCGGAGGCAAAACTGAAGCCTGACGTCATCAGCTTCAGCGCTGGAATGAGCGCCTGTGAGAAGGGCGATCAGTGGCAGCTGGCCTTGTCGTTGCTGAGCGAGATGTGGTCGGCGAGTGTTGAGCCCAACGTCATCAGCTACAGCGCCAGCATCAGCGCTTGCAAGACACGCGATCAGTGGCAACGGGCCCTCTTGTTGTTGAGCGAGATGTGTGAGGTGAAGTTAGTACCAAACGTCATCTCTTTGTTCTGATGCCAGGCGCACTGCGAGCGGGAAGGCTGGGCGCTCAAGCGAGCTAAAATCGGCCCAGCCGGCTCTGGCACGTTCCCTGGCTCCCAGGGCGCCCCAAGACGGCCCAGGGGGTCCCAGGACGATGGCCCGGTACGCCTCCAGACGGCCCAGAAGGGTACCAAGAGGCTCCCCGAGAGGGCCCCGAGAGTCCAAAACCATTGTGTTCCTCTTTCTTGGAGTTTCCCGACGGTGTCCCGAGAGTTTCCCGACGATGTCCCGAGAGGCGACGACTCAAGAGGCCCCGAGAATTTCCCACGGTGTCCCGGGAGACATTCAAGCACCAACGACCATGGCAGCAGAGCCCGCAGCAGCAGAGTCATCGCATCGCCAGAGCCAGCAGCAGCAAGTTGGAGCAAACAGCAAAAGCAGTCAGCTAGCAGCAAATACGATCTAGCACGTCGGGCAGCGCCGGCAGGCGCCGCAGAGCGTGCCGCTGCAGCTCGGGGCGCTGCTGTGGCAGGGGCGGATCGCCTTGCGGCACCGTTCCCGCCGCTCCCCCCCAGAGGACTCTTGGCCAGATGTCGTGGACGGAGCCCACGGGTCAGCCCTAGTCTCTTCTGCGTGCCAGGACCCCTGCGTGCGAGAAGGTGCTGTGCACCAATCGCGTTGTTGGGGCCTCCGAGGGGCCCACGGGCGCCGAGTAGGGCTGCGCAGGGGCAGCTCGGAGAGCCCTGCGCGACTCGGGCCTCGCCCCCTGTGTGGCCCACCAGGGCCCCCAGATGGCCGAAGAGGCGCCCAGGACGGCCCCAAGACTGCTTCAGTTAGCTGGGCTCAGGAGGGGGAAAAACAGACAGACACAATGAATCGTCGATCACGTAGAAAAGATGGGAAACTATCGGAATTGGGCGAGAAGACAAAAACCCAGAAGATATAGGAAAATATGGGGACTATTTTTATTTGTGTATATTTATTTGTGTGTCCTGGGATCCCTTCATGGACGACGGCCCACGAGGCCCTCCAGACGCTCCAAGCGAGGTCCAGAAGGGCCCTGAAGACAGCCCCGAAGGGCTCGAGTCGTCCCCAGTCCCGCGGGGAGCATTCCTGCGGTCTGCATCTGTGTGGTCCGTACCCGCAGCGCTCCAGCAAGGCATCGAGGACCCCGACGCCTCGTTCAAGACGGCCTCCGAGGCCTCCGTGAGGGCCCCCAGGCGGCCCCAGGACGGCCCCAGAGGCGCCCACGACGGCCCCGAAGCACTGCACAAAGGCTCCCAGAGCGGCGCAGGCCGGCCCACGACCGCCCCCAGACGTCCCCCGAGGCGCCCCCAGAGGGCCTCCGTCGGGCACAAGACGGCCCAAGCAGCGCCCAAGGCAGGGCTCGACTCGATTCCTTCGATTCGATTCGATTTCGATGGCCCCCGATCCCGATTCGGTTCGGCTTCGGGCTCCGATCTGGGCTCCGATTTCTCAGGGTGGAGGCCTACCAGCCTGCCGACTTCCGCGGATTCGACTTTTCCCGACTCGGCTGCCGATTTTCGCCGATCCGATTCATTTCGATCGCCGATCCGACTTGTCGATTTGAGTCTGGGCTCTCCTGCCAAGGCGGCCCACGAGGGCCCAAGTCGTTCTCCGAGGATGTCTCGGGCGACGGGGGCCTCCGGGGACCCGTGACGGACCGTGCGGTGAGGTCTCGGGGGATTTCGAGGTAACCACACGGTGTGTCACCGCACCGTTTCGGGACTCCAAATGTTCCCCCAAGACGGCTTCAGAGGCCTTCATGAGAGCCCCCAGGCGGCCCAAGACAGCCCAAGAGGCGCCCAGGAGGGTCCCAAGAGGGGGAACTCGAAGTGATATGTCGCGCCCTCCCCTGGGACCGCCAGGAGGCCCCCAAGGGGCCCCCCCGCAGCCCCAGGAGGCCTCCAAGACATCCAAATCAGGCCCCAAGAGGCCCCCCAAGAGGGCTCCGAGAGGCTACAATACGCCCTAAACGCCGCCTCGAAGAGGCTTCCGAGAGAAGATCCCTGAGAGAACTCTGTGACCGCGCACCCTGACTCCAGATCCGCCCTACTTTGGCTTTTTTTCCAACTTAAAATTGCGTCGGAAATCCACCCATAAGGAGCCGAAAAAGTAGGGCGGAAATTTCTGCACCCAACATAAAATGGGGCGAAAATCCACAGAAGTAGGGCGGAAACAACAACAGAAAAGTAGGGCGGAAATTGGCATCAGCGGGGCTTGAAAAGTAAGGTGGAAATTCCAAGCCCTACTTACGAATTTCCCCAAAGTAGGGCGGATCCGGAGTCAGGGCAGGGGCCAACCAAGAGAGCGCCCAGGAGCGCAGGAGGAGTCCAGGCGCTCGGCCACCCGCGCGCCGAGGCCGCCGACACGTGCGTGTGCGGGCCTCTTCTCGTGCCATCCTTCTCGCTCCACGCTCCTCGCCCCCCCTCCGTTCCTTCCTCGCCCTCTCCTCGCTCTCGGCTCCTCTCTTGCTGCTCATCGTTCTCTCAACCTCTCCTGGCCCCTCGCGTCTCCCTCCTCGCTCTTTCCTCGCCCTCTCCTCGCTCCCGGCTTCTCTCTTGCTGCTCATCGTTCTCTCAACCTCTCTCCTGGCCCCTCGCGTCTCCCTCCTCGCTATTGTCTCCCTCCTCGCCTCTCTTTTTTTTGTTCTCTCTCTCTCTCTCTCTCTCTCTTCTCGGCCGTCGCTCCGCCCGTCTCGCTCCGTGCTGCTCGATGGGCAGTCCTCGCTTTCCCCACCTCCCCCCTCGACCCTGGCTCCCCTCTCTCTGCTCCTCGCTCCTCGCGCTACTCAGGAGCTGCAGGTTGCGTCATCTAGCAAGGGCACCAAGCAGCAGCACCCTGTAGCCTCAGGCAGCAACAGCGAACACCAGGAATCCGCCGCAGGCAACGGCAGGACAGCAACCGAAAGCAGCAACATGCTTCAGGCAGCAGCAGTCTGCAGCTGCAGGCAGCAACAGCTAAGGCGAAGTTCAGGCTCATTGGCATCACGAAAGCCTGTCGGCAACATCTCTGGTAGGCCACGGGTCAGCCCTCCAACCTCGTGCGAAAAACAACTGGTGGTTGGTGAGCCACCCGGGCCCCCCATTTCAATGTTGATCGTGCGACCGGCGAAGCTCGGTAAAACAAGTCGACTGATCATTGAACGTTGAAATTGGGGGGGCGTGTAGACAAACACCAGTTCCTTTCCGCACGGGGTCAAAGAAAATGAGAAGAGGACGACGATGGTGATGATAATGATGATGTTGATGATGATGCTTCTGGTGATGATGATAATGATGATGATGATGATGATGATGATGATGATGATGATGCTGATGATGATGATGATGATGATGATGATGATGATGACGGCTGTGGCGGTGGCGGTGGTGGTGATAATGATGGTGATGATGATGACGATGATGCTGTTAATGATGATGATGATGATGATGATGATGATGATGATGATGATGATGATGATGATGATGATGATGATGATGATGAGGATGATGGCGATGTTTTGGGGAGTGCGGAGGGTTTGGGAGGGTCGTGAGAGCTCTGGTGATTGTGGGGGGAGTGCAGAAGGTTTAGGAGGGATAGGAGGGTTCCAGAGGTTTTCGTTTGAGCGCGGAGGGTTGCAGATGGACGGGAGGTTCTGCAGGTTTTCGGAGGAGTGCGGAGGAGCGTCGAGGAATGGGACGGTTTCGGAGGTTGTTGGGAGCACAGCGGACGGTTTAGGAGGGGTGGGAGAGTTCCAGAGGTTTGGGAGGAGTGCGGAGGAGTAAAGTCATAATTTCCCGCCACTGCCCGCTTGTTACTGGGTGTATAGCCAGTACATGTTTCCCAATCGCCCGCATCTTTTTGTTAGGATAAACAGGCTTCCAGGTTCAATTATTCTTTGTGTAATCATGATTGCGGCGGGTAGTTCGTGAACCATAGGCGGGTAATCGGCAGGGTAATAGGGGGGTAATAGGCGGGTAATTGGCGGGCAACTCGGATTTCACGGACGCGATTTTTCACCTTCCTTCCCCTCTCTCGTCACCAGTCTCGTCTTCCTACTACGTCATCGTTGTCGTCGTCCTCCTCTCTTTTCTCCTCGCCCCCCCATCACCTCACTGTCCTCCCCTGCAGTAGGCATGCCAGATAATAAACCAACCTGACAGCATGTACCCCGCTGAGATGTCTTATCTCGTGAAAGCCCTGAGGACCCATGGAAGCCCTGAGGCACCTCAGGAACTTCAAAGATCGACGGCACGCATCGCGGCACGCATCGCATCTGTATGCCCTACTGATGCTCTTTCCGCCAGCGCAGTCACTGTGCCCAACCGCCGACGCAAAAAGTGTGTGCTGCGTGTTTCTCGCTGCTCTGGCGCGTGAAACATATTCTCCTCGTCGTCGTCGTCCTTCCTCCTGCGTCGTCGTCATCCGTATGTTCTTTTTCTTCCTCGTGCCTCGTCGTGGTGGTGGTCGTCGTCGTCTTCGTCGTCGTCGTCTTCTTGTCCCCTCACTCTCCGTAGTCAGCTACAGCGCTGGGATCACTGCGTGCGGAAAGGGCGACCAGTGGCAGCGGTCCCTGTGGTTGTTGAGCGAGATGTGGGAGGTAACATTGGAGCCCGACGTCATCAGCTACAGCGCTGGGATCACCGCGTGCGATCAGAGCGGGCAGTGGCAACAGGCGCTGAGCATGCTCACAACCATGCGTTTGAGAAAATTGCACGCCGGCGTCATCCTCTACGGAATCACAGCCAGCATGTGCGAGCAAGTAGGGCAATGGAGCCAAGTGCTGTCGTTGTTCACGGAGGTGCTTGACTGTCTTGTGGAATGACACAAGCGTGCCGCAATGCTGGCCCAGGCAGGTCCGAGAAAGGTTTTTGAGTTGCACTGATGGGGCCAGCGAGTGCGAGATGGGCGAGCAATGGCAGCGCGTTATGGCGCTGTTCAGCGCGGTGCGGGAGGCGACGTTGGAGCCCGACGCCATCTCTCTTACAATGCAGAGGTCTGCGTTTGCGAGACGGGTCCATGGCCCGGTTGGCTCTTTTTTTCAGGAGGGGACAAAAACACACAGACACAAATAATCGTCCACTCCCAAGAAAATATCGGAAAATAGGGGAAGTGTCGGGAAGGCAAAAACCCAGAACATATAAGAAAATATGGGGAATCCTTTAATTTGTGTGTATTTGTTTGCGTGTCCCAGGGCCCCTTCATTCTTGCCCCCCCCCCTCCCCCCAGGCCACCTTCGGAGCCCGAGAATTGTTCCCAGTTCTTGTTGGGGCAGTCCTGAGCGCCCTGGGCGGCCCTTGACCGCCCCCCACGAAGGCAACAGAGAGGGCCTGGTGAGCGACAGAAGTGAAGACCAGATAGATGTCCGGCCACATGCGTGCAGAGGCCATTGGTAGGTCTGTGTGCTGTTCGCGTCTCAAGCCTGCCTCCTCGCTTCCCGCTCCGCAGTCTGCAGTCCTCGCTCCTCGCCCACTGCTCCTCGCCCCTCTCTCCGCACTCTCGCTCTTTTCACTGCCCCCTCGCCCTCGCAACCCTCTCCTGGCCCCTTTTACCCCTCTTGGCTTTTCACTCGCGTCCTTCCTCCTCCCTCCCTCGGCTCTCCCTCGTCCAGCGTCGCCCCCCCCTCTCTCCTCGACCTTTGCTCCTCCCTCCTCGACCCCGTCCCGTCGCTGCCTGCCCCTCGCACCTCGATTCTCTCACGCGTGGCAGGCTGCGCCAGCCAGCCTGAGCAGTGAGAGACAGCACCCTTCAGCATCAAGCAGCAGCAGCGAAGAGCAGCAGCGGTAATCATCACGAAGCAGCAGCAGTGCATAGCAACAGCAAGCAGCGGCAGCATGCAGCCGGCACCAGCTCTCTGTACCATCGCCATCAGCAGCACTTTGCAGCCACAAGCAGTAACGGCGAGCAGCAGCGGCAAGCATGCAACAGTACGCAACAACGCCAGCAAATGGGCAGGCACCCATGTAGCAACCAGCACCGAGCAGCAGCACGCAGCAGGGCCAAGCCGCATCAAGCGTCAGCACGCCACGACCGACACCAGCCCGGCCCGCCGGCAGACAAAACCAGGCACCAGCAGGCGGCGGATACGGCAGCGAGCGGACGGGCAAAGGGCACGAACCATAGGACGCCAGGCCACCAGGCCAGCAGCCACGCCGGCAGGACGGCAGCCCGGCAGGCCAGCAGGCGAGCGAGCCTCCCCCCTGCCTGCGTTTTTCCGCGCCGTGGGCGGTCGTCGACGGGGGCTCCCCCGCGGCTGGGCTCTCCCAGGCTTCCCGTCGTTCTTCCGAGCCTTTCGCTCTCCATCTCCTCGCTCCTCGCTCCTCTCACTCTTCCATGCTCGCTACTCTCTGGGGATCCCTCGCTCGTCACTCCTGGCTGCAAGCCCTTCTGAGGGGCCCACCGACAACACCTGGGGGTGCCGCCGCGCAGGTGGCGGTGCTCTCTGCTACACTATTCGCCCCCCCCCCCCCCGACGACTCACCCACCCTTCCCCTGAGAACGGTCTCCGAGCTACGCACACACACACACACACACACACACTTTTTGACGTCGCGGCCACGCGCGCAGCCGACGCGGCGGAGTCTGGCGTGCGGTAGCGGCAAACGGAACATACATACACACACCGACAATGCCGGCAGAGCAGCGTTGGCGGGGCGATGGCGTGTCGTTGGCGGGGCGGTGGTGGCGCGATGATGGTGCGATCGCGGGGCGTTGTCGGTGGCGGTGGCGAGGCGTTGTTGGTGGCGTTGTCGGTCGCATTGTCGGCGTTGGCAGGAGGGGTCGCTCGTAAGCGAGTGTCCTGTCCAAGAGCTGCGCTTTGACAGGAAACCGGCTTACGTGTGACCCCCCACATCCGCCTACGCCGACAACGCCACCGACGACGCCACCGACACCACTCCCCCGTTTCCTCTGGCAACGCCTCTGGTGACGTGGGCTGGATCAGGCGGTGGCGGGGTGGCGGCGGGGCGGCGTCGAGGCGGTGGCGAGGCGCTGGCGGGGTGGTGGCGGGGCGGTGTCGAGGCGGTGGCGAGGCGGTGACGAGGCGATGGCTGGGCGGTGGTTGGGGCGTTGCCGAGCTCTGTTGGTGGCATTGGCAATGATTTCGCTGGGCGCTGTCTGCGGCGTTGTCGGCGTTGTCGGCGCCGTTGCCGACGGCGTCGTCGGGACGTTGTCGGAGGCCCCTGGGGAGCGTTGTCGATGGCCGTGTGTGGGGGGGGTGAAGGGCTCGGGGACTCTGTTGGCGGCTCTGTCAGTGCGTGGTAGGGGGCGTTATCCATGTGGTGTCGGTGCGTTGTCGGTGGCTTTGTCTGCACGTTGGTGGCATTGTCGATGCGTTGTCGGTGGCTGGGGGTGCGCGGATTACCGAAGGGCGCCGCCACTAAAGTGGCGAGACCCATCGTGTAAGCCCCTTCCTCCTCCCTCCTCGCATCCCCTTCCTGCCAATCCATGCGGCCCTTCGAAGGCCTCACGAGCGCCCCAGGGAGCCCCGCGACGGCTCCTTGCTCCGCTCACGGGCTCCTCCTCTCTCCCCCTCGCCCATCTTACTCTTTTCTCGCTGCTCGGACCTCGCGTCCAACGTCATTGTGGACGACTTTCGGCAGCATGTCCGCCATCACGTCGCATGCTAGTTCGAGCAGGTTTGGTGGACAGTGGTCCACGGGGCAGATGCTAGTCAGCCATAGCGCTGGCATCAGCGCGTGTGAGATGGGCGAGCAGTGGCAGCAGATGTTGACGCTGGTCCGCGAAATGCGTGAGGCGAAGCTGGAGCCCGACCCACAGATAATTCAATTGACGGCGAGGCGAGAAGCAGGAGGCGACCGATAACTCAGTGGGCTTAAAAACATGATCCAGCGTGTCATACGCAACGTAGGCCGGGAAGACCAAACAACAAATGGATCGATGATATTCGAAAACAGATTTAGGACAACATAGGATGTGACGGCACGCGCACCACAGCTACCATCAATGTTGCATCAAAGGGTCATTGGAATGATATTGGACTATTCTTTGCGTCACACCACATGTGAGCACGCTGCGCAAATGCATCACATTTCCAGTGCCCTGGCGCAGCCCCCGCAGCACCCTAGTGGGCACCCATGCGCGGGAGTGTCTGTCATGTCTGTTTGTCTGTCTGTCTGAAACTGGAGCCTCACGTGATCAGCTACATCGCCATGACCAACGCGTGCGAGACAGTCGATTGTTGCCGGCGCTGGCGGGCTGCGTGTCTGCATCGTCCATGGCGGCGAGCAGGGCGTGGCTGGAGCCTGGGCCTGGGCTGCAAAAGCAGGACCGCTGAGGCGTGCAGCGGGGCGTGCTGCTCCAGTGAGGCACGGCGGGCGGCGAGCGGTCGCGCGCGGTGCGCGCCTCCGCCCTTCTGGGGCTGGCCGGCGTCCGCCTCCCCGGACCCCCGACGTCGCGATTTGTTCACCACGTCGACCCCCCGAGGTCTGAGCCTCTCTCTTCCCCGGGACCGGAGTTCCATCCCGAGTGGTTCTTTGATTGGTAGTCCCCAAGCGTGGTGGTGACAACACCTGGCGGTGAGTCTCGGGCGATTTGGTGTCACCACCCGGTTGGGGGACTCGTGCGGTGTTCCGAGGATGTCCCGAACACTGGTGGGTCCAGGAGTCACGAAACCCGGTGGTGACCCCGTGTCCCCAAACCCAGCGGTGACCTTTTGGGGGGATTCCAGGTCGCCACCTGGTATCTCACCACCCGGTTTGGGGGGTCCCAATTTGACAGTCCCGAGGCCCAGTAAGGGCCCCGAGCGGGGGCGAAGATAGCGAAAAGCCTGCCGTCATGATTGGTTCGTTGCTCGAGGGGGTCTGGGTCAGAGGCCAAAAGCAGGGGTCGGCGATGCCAGTGTGCGGCCGGCACGGCCGCGGGGTCTGGCTTGTCGCCAAGCATGTTCCGGTCTTGGGATGGCGCGCTTTTTCGTGGCCAGCCGGCGAGGCGGGCCTTCACGTGTCGCAGGCCTGCAGGTCGACACAAACACCAAGATCGGCGGTGTGCCTCCACCGAGGGACGAAGATCCCGATCTCGGCGATGGTGGTAATACTATGGCTTCCAACCCAGACCCCCTCGAGTAGTGAAAAAATCACGACGGGAGGTTTTTCGCAAGTTTCGGCCCCTGGGGGCCCTTACCGGGCTTCGGGACCGTCAAAAACGACTCAGGATGAGAAACTGGTCCTGGGGAATAGGTCGAGACTTCGGGGGGTCGACGTCATGAGAAAGACATGACGTCGGCGGTCTGGGAAGGCGACCGAAATAATTATTACCATGAAATCTAAGGTCCTCTGCCCCCTGTGGAGGCAAAACCCTGTGCTGGCGCTGGTGCCCATCTTTCCAGGCCTCCAGTCCACCCGGCAGCCGGTGGGCCGCCCGGCCCCGGAGCTGCCTGCGTCGCCGGAGGAGGCCGGATAGGCGGCGGCGCGGAGGCGGCAGCTGTGGGGAGTCCTGCCGGCGCGGCCGGCTGTGGATTTGCACGGGCGGGGGGCGCAGGGCCCTCCCCCAGTATCGTTTATAACCGACCCCATCCCCATCCCCATCCCCTTCGAGACCCCCACCAAATCACCCCCCCCCAGTTGGGGGGTACACCACTCGAGACCCGAAGGGAAGGACCTGCATCCCCATCTGGGTGGGTAAATCGGCCAGTGGGGCCCAGGCCACGCCGCTGGGGATCGGGATCGGTTAAACGATACTCACTCCCCCCCGTCCTGCCCGAAGATGAGCAAGCGCTGCGAGGCTGCTTCGTCGTGGGCAGGAGGCGACTCCACCAGGGACGAGCGGCCCCCTGCTTTTCCCCGTGGAGCCTGCTTCTTTTTTCCTCCTAAAAGAAAGTCTGGGCGATAACACTCGTGATCGCCCCCGCCCCTCCCCCCTCCCCCCCATCCGATCACGTCACGCTGTTGTCCCCACATGTCTCAAGGTTTCCAGAGAATCTCAAGGGTTTTCCAGGAATTCGTCGTCGTCGCTGATGTCCGCGACCAGGAGGCAGAAAAAAACCCGGGAGGCCGATTCCCGCCGTGATGTGATCGGGGGGGTCAACCACCCCTCTCCGATCACGCCAGTTATCGCGGATAAAATTATCCCGGCAAAGCAACCTAACAGCGATGTGTAGGAGCATATCTGGAAGCATTCCCCTTAAGATTCAGATGAGAATCCAGTTGTAGAATTCTGCTGTTCTCGCAGTCGTAGTCGCATTCGCGATGACAGTCGCAGTGGCAACGGCAGTCGCAGTCACAGCCTCAGCCTCAGCCTGCCTCAGCCTCAGCCTCAGCCTGCCTCAGCCTCAGCCTGCCTCAGCCTCAGCCTCAGCCTGCTTCAGCCTCAGCCTCAGTCTGCCTTCAGCCTCGGCCTCAGCCTCAGCCTGCCTCAGCCTCAGCCTCAGCCTCAGCCTCAGCCTGCCTCAGCCTCAGCCTGCAGCCTCAGCCTCAGCCTCAGCCTGCCTCAGCCTCAGCCTCAGCCTTCAGCCTCAGCCTCAGTCTGCCTCAGCCTCGGCCTCAGCCTCAGCCTGCCTCAGCCTCAGCCTCAGCCTCCTGCCTCAGCCTCTCAGCCTCAGCCTCAGCCTGCCTCAGCCTCAGCCTCAGCCTGCTTCAGCCTCAGCCTCAGTCTGCCTTCAGCCTCGGCCTCAGCCTCAGCCTGCCTCAGCCTCAGCCTGCATCAGCCTCAGCCTCAGCCTCAGCCTGCCTCAGCATCAGCCTGCCTCAGCCTCAGCCTCAGCCTGCCTCAGCCTCAGCCTCAGCCTGCTTCAGCCTCAGCCTCAGTCTGCCTTCAGCCTCGGCCTCAGCCTCAGCCTGCCTCAGCCTCAGCCTGCATCAGCCTCAGCCTCAGCCTCAGCCTCAGCCTCAGCCTCAGCCTCAGCCTGCCTCAGCCTGCCTCAGCCTCAGCCTCAGCCTGCCTCAGCCTCAGCCTCAGCCTGCTTCAGCCTCAGCCTCAGTCTGCCTTCAGCCTCGCCTCAGCCTCAGCCTGCCTCAGCCTCAGCCTGCCTCAGCCTCAGCCTCAGCCTCAGCCTCAGCCTGCCTCAGCCTCAGCCTCAGCCTCAGCCTGCCTTCAGCCTCAGCCTCAGTCTGCCTTCAGCCTCGGCCTCAGCCTCAGCCTGCCTCAGCCTCAGCCTGCATCAGCCTCAGCCTCAGCCTCAGCCTGCCTCAGCATCAGCCTGCCTCAGCCTCAGCCTCAGCCTGCCTCAGCCTCAGCCTCAGCCTGCTTCAGCCTCAGCCTCAGTCTGCCTTCAGCCTCGGCCTCAGCCTCAGCCTGCCTCAGCCTCAGCCTGCCTCAGCCTCAGCCTCAGCCTCAGCCTCCTCAGCCAGCCAGCCTCAGCCTGCCTCAGCCTCAGCCTCAGCCTGCTCAGCCTCAGCCAGCCTCAGCCTGCAGCCTGCTCAGCCTCAGCCTCAGCCTCAGCCTGCCTCAGCCTCAGCCTCAGCCTCAGCAGCCTCAGCCTCAGAGCCTCGGCCTCAGCCTCAGCCTGCCTCAGCCTCAGCATCAGCCTGCCTCAACATTCAAAATGTGGCCCGGGAATGGAGTTCTGGGAACTCGAAGAACACGAAGTTGCCTACAGTTGGCTCCGGGCATTCAAAATCATGCCCTGGAATTGAGTTCTGGGAACTCGAAGAGCACGAAGTGGCCTACAGTTGGCTCCAGGCATTCAAAATGTGGCCCGGGAATGGAGTTCTGGGAACTCGACGAGCACGAAGTGGCCTACAGTTGGCTCCGGGCATTCAAAATGTGGCCCTGGAATGGAGTTCTGGGAACTCGAAGAGCACGAAGTGGCCTACATACAGTTGGCTCCGGGTATTCAGAATGTGGCCCGGGAATGGAGTTCTGGGACCTCGAAGACCACGAAGTGTGTAACTGTTTGTTTAAAACGACTTCCGCGGATTCTCCCCGGCACCCGTCCGGCATCTGCCCAGACCCCCTTGAGGAGTCAAGATGCTTTCTTTTGAGACCATTAGAAACCTATCAGTCTTCGCTGTTAGGTAACAAAAACAGGTTGGTGGCCTGCAGTCGGGCCCGTAAACGCGCTAACGGTGTGTTAGCTGACGGCGAAGTAGGACAAGCAATTGTAGGAAGGCGTGGTCCGTGGCCAAGCCACTTGTACGAGCGCGTGGTTCGCGTTTTCCTGCAATTCGCTGCGTCGTTCTCGCTCGATGTCGATGCACTCGCACGGTTGAACTGTAGGCAAGTGTGGTATCGTGACTTCCTACACTCTGTTTTGCTCGAGCTCGGCGTCACAGAAGTCGGATTGCCGACATCGCCGTTCACCAGCATCGCCGTTGGCGCGGTCCCGTGAGATGCCGGGCCGGGCCCGCCGCGCCGTGCCGCGCCTGGTGTCGAAGAAGCGACGAGGAGATGCAGTGGCGTGCCTGTGTGCCGTGCCGTCCAGTGCCGCGCCGGGCTTCTTCTCAGGAGGCGAGGAGGTTGCCGTGCCGCACCGTGCTCGGTTGCGGTGCGGTGCCTGGCCTCGTTTTTCCTCGGGCCTGTCCCTGTTGATTGCAGGAGGGAAATCTTCACGAATAGTAGAAAAATAATACAGGGACAATTTGTTGTGCTATGTTTGAATTCTTTACGCTTCGCGTATCCCCACCAGCCCATCTCACAGCAGCAACTCTCGCGAAGCATGCCGACAGTCGTGTTTTTCAGGCGTGTGTCGGCTGGGCTCCGCATATCTCCCCTGCTCCTCCTTCCTCCCGCCTCCTTGTCTATCCTCCTTGTGAGGTGAGGCGTTCGGGCACCTCGTCCGCGTGCGAGGTGATCGGGGTCTTCGCAGGTGGAGTCGTAGTAGTCGTAGTAGTAGTAGTAGTAGTAGTAGTAGTAGTAGTAGTAGTAGTAGTAGTAGTAGTAGTAGTAGTAGTAGTAGTAGTAGTAGTAGTAGTAGTAGTAGTAGTAGTAAGTAGTAGTAGTAGTAGTAGTAGTAGTAGTAGTAGTAGTAGTAGTAGTAGTAGTAGTAGTAGTAGTAGTAGTAGTAGTAGTAGTAGTAGTAGTAGTAGTAGTAGTAGTAGTAGTAGTAGTAGTAGTAGTAGTAGTAGTAGTAGTAGTAGTAGTAGTAGTAGTAGTAGTAGTAGTAGTAGTAGTAGTAGTAGTAGTAGTAGTAGTAGTAGTAGTAGTAGTAGTAGTAGTAGTAGTAGTAGTAGTAGTAGTAGTAGTAGTAGTAGTAGTAGTAGTAGTAGTAGTAGTAGTCAGTAGTGGAGTCGTAGTCGTAATAGTAGTAGTCGTAGGAGTAGAAGTAGTAGTGGATGTCTTTTGGTCGGAGGCCTCTGAGGGCGTCTTCGGCGCCTCTTGGGGCCGCTTGGAGACATCTTG